AACTCTCGAAATGGCTTTTGTTTATGCGAATGTACAGCAGAAAACTCAATGTAGTTTCCGTCTTCTTGAGGAATCAATTTAATGGGCATTTTTTTACAACACGAGACTTCAATTTAACCCATTTAAGCGTATTTTATTCGTAAAACTAAAAGCCCACCAAGTGTGTACTTCATTTAGATTATGACGACATTCTGTAGTTAAGTGGTATAAATACGATACTCTTCGATTTAGGAATTAGGATTTGTTTCTACGGCTTCATCGACGTACAGACAGTTTGATGAGTAATCGAATTAAAACGGAATTATTGTCTATTATTTTAATTATGTAACGCAATACATTCTTTGTAAAATTAAAGTGCCGTCTGAGCTATTTAATAAAAGTTTTCTAGTATGTGAATTGTTCATTCATAGGCACTGCTAGGAAAACATTTTAGGGCGGCCAAGTAATATTTGTTTTTTACGCGGCTACTGTGTATATATCGTCAAATGATGAACTTAATAAAACACTATGATAATAGTTACAGCTATTAAAACGAAATATTAATAACACGTCCAGTGTATATTTTCACGAAAATTGTGAATTCTTATAGTTTTTAAATGCCATTGATATGTTGTAGATGTTTTAAAATGTAACGAATAATATTACAATAAAAAACGATTTAATAAATATTCAGCTCGTAAACGTTGTGATTATAATCGCGTGGTGAGCAAAATAATGTTAGGTAATTTCGCAAGACTATATTAAGAACACGAGAGTTTGAAAACGTTTTAGAAACGATTGATGACTAATACATTTTTTTTTTAAAAAGTACGAACATTTAATAATTACGAACGCTGTGTGCGTTGGAGTAAAGAAGTCGAATAAATAATGAATTTAATCCATTACGCGTGTTATTAAATGTCCGAACAGTTACGAAATGTTGTTAATGAATTTTGAAAGTAAACAAACTGTTTTAATAATATTTTAGTTTCTCAAATAAATATAATGAAACTATTCCGCTATTTGCGCTTGTACGACGTGTACACCATATCGTTAATTTTTGTTGTTATGAAATATTGATTACACGCGAAGCGCACACCGTTAATATTTGATAATTAATAATTACCGTCAAGGATGTACGGTCGTTGTCTGAGACCTTTCATCCTCTGCTCTCATTTCCAAGGGAATACCGAGTGCGTTGGTCGACGCGTTAAAAAAACTGAGCTTTTGACGTTACATCAACTCCAAATCAACGACGTTGCACGACAAACAACGTTGATTATAACGATAATGTAGTTTTTTTTTTTTTACTTTCCACTAGAACATCAAATACTCTAACTTATTGCACACACACACAACACACGTGGGCTTTCTTCTTCGTTTACGTTATATTAAAAAAATAAAATAGTAACCACTGAAAATCGATGTATTTTTTTACATTACATAATTATGGCTGAATCACTCAAATTTTTTACAATTGACCCTACAGTTGTATAGCTTTAGAGTATAATTGTACAGAACGTGTCCGTCATATCGTGTTTACAAAATATTAGTTTTTTCTAACGCAAAAACGTTTTTTTTTTTTAAAAAAAAAAGAATTCCAGTTCATATTAGAAACGGATATCGTTGTCTCGTTTGACAATAGATGTCAATCTTTTTCATTCAAGTGAAAACGTGAATTTTATTCTTTGTCTGGTAACTAAAATAGTGAATACCCGTCCAATAGTTCTACAGATTAGATTTGGATTTTTATCAGAAATTATTATAGAAAAGGCTGACTGTTATTACATGTAAGGACGTGGAAGTTGGGCAATTAAAAAAAAATATATATAAATACAAATGTAATTGAAATAAAACTTTCTTCTTATTTGCTTACACATAATCAGCCATTATAATTTTAGTTTACTTTCAATGACATATTTTTCAAGACTAATATATATTTTAATTCGTTGACCGTAAAAATGAAAAACGTGTACATATACGTAATTATTATTAACGTGTGTATTTATAGCGAAGAAGTTAAAAATATTGTTGTTGTTGTTCTCGAACACGATCAGATTAGAGAATCGCACTTAAGTATATATTATTTCTATACGTCAGCAAGATTCGTTTAGACTGAAAATGAAAGTAATTTAATAATAGCGCGCCGTGAAAAAAATTTAATGATTACGATGCATTTTATTAAAAAAATTCGACTTGTTAAACGGGTTTGGAAAATGATTGCTCTTCAATAATTAATACATACAATTTTAATCTGTTTCAGTTGCCTCTCGTTAAACTTGTGCGTATTGCGACTTTCTTCGATTTTAATATCCGGAAACAACTGTATTTTATTTAATTAGCTCTGCTTTCTTGCGCTGTTCCATTGGATCAAACCACCTAAAGTTGTTTTGAACGTTCTATTCGTATGCATACAATTACTGCTGTGCCCAGTAAGCTTGTGTTCTATTACTGTCACAAATCAAGACCGTAAGCTTAAAGATCGCTCGGTTGTCTGTTGCACAGAAATTTCTTTGTGCTAGTGGTACCCGCGGCACTCCAATGCCTATAGTGATTTTTACACGCACGTCACGTACAGCATTTCTCAAGCTTTGTATTCGCTCGGATTGTCTGCTGCGAAATCCGAGTGATACGACGATTGCTGTTGTTCAACGTATAATAAAGTATCGGACGTTTATTTCTGCTGTCCGTGCTTTTGATTAATGGTGCACGCGACATCGCACGTTTTTCTCCTATCGTATTGCATTGCTGCTCTGTTGGATATTGTCCGTACATTGTGATGTCGTCGTTTTTGTGGTTCGGAAGCACCGGAGTCCAGCGGTATTATCCGGAAAGCGACGACAGCACGCCGTGGACGAACGACAACCGGTTGGACGTATGCTTTTTGTTCGGCTGGGTCACGCGCGCACGTCTTCTTCGTTTTTTAATAATGTTTGCCCGTTTTTCATTTGCTATTATTCCGTCGTTTCGTTTTGTCAATCACCGACGGGGCAGACACGTTTATTACTTTTTCGTAACAATAAAAACGGTGAATAACAGTAATAACGGCTGAATCCAAACACCGATTCGCATAGCGTCTATACGTCACGTGCTCGCGTTATTTGCACACAGGGACAACGGCGGCGCGCGCCTGGGGACCCGTTGTCCGGAGGAAACACAATCTCACGGACAATAATCGGTCGGTCGGTTCGGTGCAAATCCCGTTGACCACCCGGTACGTTGTGCGCATACCCATTTTGGCGCGAACCGTATTGTTATCACATTATCTGTTCGTCCGGCCGCCGGCACATCGAATTCGCGCACTGGACGTCGTATTGTTAGTGTAGTACATCGACGTACGTATAAAATACACGTATATCCCATTGGTACAGTGTTGGAGTAAAAAAATCAATGCAGCAAGTTTTGTAAGATATAAATAAATTTTAGCCGCAATGTGAAATATAGTCGGCGGTGCGGTGTATTACCCCACGTTTGTTTTTTGTAACCGCCGCCGGCGACGCTCAAAAAACGAACCACCGCTCGTACATCACGTGTTCTTGAAATACGATAATTCGGCGTTTTTATCATTTCTAATAATATATATTTGTATATTTACACCGCCAGACGATTAGTTTAATGGCGTGTGCATTTCGAAGTGAGAAAAACGGCGGTTGACTCGGGCCCGGGGACACAATAATGGTTTTAACCGTTATTCGTGTAAACTTGATAAATGGATATTCATTCGCTTTGTGCGTGCGTTGGGCACATTAAGTAAATTGTACGAAGAAGCCTCATAAAGTCAACTGAGGCTTAATAGGAGACGTCTCCGCGAGGCGTTGGCCTTAAACGAAGCTTTTATACCTCCGGTGGGGCGGCAACCACATTTATCTTTCGAAGCAAATATCAGACGCGCCGTCGCCCTCCAGTGATTTTGATCACGTAGCCGGTGGTCACTTAATCGATAGTCTTAAGAGTATGTAATGAACACTAATTTATGTCGTACGATTGTTATACGTACACCTTGAAAGACAATAATTACACGATACGCATGACCAATGTTTGGATTGAGTTGCGCTTTACAATAGTCAATTCGTAAAAATTTGTGAGATAATGTTTCGACGGATTCTGTCAATTAATACGTTGTATCATAATCATTCCCTTAGGGGTTCCGTACGAGACAAAAAAAGCGGGTTATTTCATTGACTGTTTAAGTAATCAAAGTACACGTTTATCCGTCAATGTGCCCTCTACTGAAGAACCGAACCGTTGCTCTTAAGTGGACTGTGGTTCAACTTGACTTGATTGATGTGATCTCGATGCATGTGCAACGAGGCGAAACGCTGTGCCGAAGAGCTGAATCGGTCGTAGTTGCCGTGATTTAGTTACAGGCCAAAACGGCATTGAAACCTTTAATCTTACACAATGCTTCTTTTTTTTAAGCAATTTATTTTTAGTGTTTGTAATTTTTAAATTAATCGTATTCTTTAATAAAGTTACAGTTAGGCAATGAAACATTAATAAAGCCAGGTCATAAATGAGTGACATGTCATGGACATGCGTTTTTTCTTCATATTTACCTTTATCATTTTCTGCCATTGACTGTATACTTACAATGAGAATACCGTTTTATGAACTCTTCCACGGTCCCAAATCACCGTATTCGGTGTAATAATAATGTATCATGTTCCGCATGTACTAAACAAGCATTATTACCGTATCGTTATAAAGTATTCGTAACGCGGTACGTTATGTGTACAAAAACAGTACTTAAAAAATATATTCTCTTTCGTTGTTCGCTTAAATATTGTATGAGACGCTTAGAATGCAAGGGGCCATAAGTGACATTTCTTTAGTCTCGAGAATGTTTTTTTCCATATAACACCATGTAAAATAAAATCCATTTTTATGTATTCTTTACCATTTTTTTTTGCTAAGCAGAACTATTAGTCCAACCGTTTACCTGACTCAATTTTTAAGAAATGTTACCCCTTGCATTCTAAGCACCTTATATGACATCGTTTAATTAATATTGTTTATTATAGATGCTACTGGCTTGTGAACATTTCATGACGTCCAGCCTCACGATAGACATCGAATATGAACCGGTGGTGAAAAATTTCCCCATGTTGGCGGCATTGGCCGAAGCTTGTCTTTGGCCCATTGTGTTGCTACTGTTCGATGACCAATTCGTGCCCAGACTGTCTAACTTGTATCGCAGGCAGAGTGCTTCGGACATGGCGAAACCCCCTCAAGGTGAGCATTATCTTGGAGCGTATGATAAAACTACACGTTCGCATTTGTGGATGTCTGCGGGGGGTAATTCGTTCGCGAAAACCTATCATTATGTTTAATATACTCGGCTACTAATGATAAATTACAAATTTCTCGAATTCATTACACTCTATTTCTCACTATAAGAACAGTGCATTAAAAATTTCAACAACAGTTTTTAAGTTATTATTATTATTATTTTTTTTTGTGATTATTTAAATCTAAATACTGCCACAATAGAGGTTTTTAAAAAGAATCGTATGTCCGCCCACATTGACTCCTCTGTTATCCTCTGGATATTAATCATAGACCTTTTTGGGTTTATTATAAATACCATTATAGTGCTTTATTGGCAATGAGTAACTGTTGTTGTTCATAATAACACATCAAGTTTACGCACACATATTTTCCAGTGAAAGGTCCGGTTGAATGTATAAAGAAGAGCTGTCATTTTTCCTGTGTCTTGGATTTTGTTTTATTCCATCTAGTCTGTAATGTGTTATTGTCCGGGACCATGTTTTAAAACGTCATTTATTCTATTTTCATAGAATATTGTATACGATTGTACTCGTGATTTTCCACGATCGCGTTTAAACGCATCACAATGCCCCATAGCTAATATGTAAAAAAAAAAAACACCGGCCATTATTTATTTAGCAAAAACGGATATATGCTTCGGTTGCATCCGGTGAGCGAATAAAAATGAATTCGTATTGTAGATAAAATATTTGCGACGTTATTTACACTCGGTCAGTTTATTTGAATTTAAATTTAAAATGACATTTTTTAAGAGACGCGTCGGTTTTAGCGTTAATTACTATGGTATATGCTAATGTGTTTAGAACACACTTTACTGTAAATCTAGTAGTATGAGATTTTGTTTGAAAATCTAATAGTTAATAATAGTCGTTGTTGGTTTATTGTGAACCATGACCTCGTCTAATTCGTTCTTAAGAGTACCAGTTCATTATTAAATCCGATGGGTTGATTGAACATTTAAAATACTGACAATGCACGTGGTTTAATAACTGCCGTTAAATATTTTATGCTGGTTTTTTAGGTTTACATGGAAAGTTCCGACCTTACAACGGTTCACTTCAAGATACCCGTAGGCCCCCATCGTCCAACAGCGGTGGGGGAGGAGGTTCGGCCGGCGGCGAGTCAGCATCCGCGGCACACCGGTTTCCAATTACCAACGGATCGCTGTTTGCCAGTTTGGACGGACGAGTTCCGGTTCTGCATCACTACAGACGAGGTGAGCCCCGGACGAAAACCATAATAATATTTCGGGTTTTGTAATTTACATTTTCTTTATTGACCCGAAAACCGTTATGGTGTGCTATTACAATATTATAACCCAAAAAATGCACAGTTTTTAGCATAATAAAAAAACCAGAAATGTCCTTATATATTTAACGACATTGACGGGCAAACCATATTTGCGAACTTCGATTTATATTTTAATCAAACCGGTTCTCGTTTAATTTCCTAATCTCCGCGCTGTAATCAATCGAGCGCACTGAAAAATGTAATGCCGTTTTTTGATTTTTCCTCGTCTACACGGCGACACATAATACGTCGTAATGCGTGTTCTGTCGTCATATAGTTACTGTGTATCACAACGCGTAAGACGTTTTTTGCGGACCAAAAAAAGATCGTGTTAGGCACACTGCTGCATAGTTTCGTTGCTTGTATGCGTCGCACGGACTACAACGATAAAGTATGCGAGACGCATCTTGACATTATAATAATATTTTTTGGGTCAGCGTGTACACAACCGACAAAATTTACAGTCGTCGAGAAACATCAACGTAGATCGTTTTGTGGACATAAAAATTTACAATACCTGTTCACGTATTCAGATAGGACTTGTTAAGATGCTCACTGACGAAACGTAAACAACGGATTTTTCCACATAAATTTAATCTTAACTCCGTGCAATTAATGACATAAACTTGTTTTGGGGAATCTATTTTTGTTCGCAATACCTGACATGTTCATTAATGTCTTGTAATGACCATTACTGTTATTTAACTTGAATGATTTGTGTATAGAACTTTATCCTTCGTTTTGTTAAGAACATGGTGATGCCTATTTGATAACCAGTTGTAACGGATCGTTAAAAATTAATTAACACGTTGAACTATTAAAGTAATATAATTAACTAATTTTTTTACATATAAATAAATAATAAAAATAATTAATGTATACGTTATTGCCCTTTTTCGCGTGTATTTTTCAAATATCAATTTCTAGTAAGATGTAAAGTAAAATGAGTGTATTTTTTACTCTAAAATGCAAAGGAGCTAATAAACGTTTGAAGCGACTGGAGAATCAAATAAAACGATTTCCTAGAGATATTTGTTGAATGACATTTGGCATTTTTGTTCTTTAATTTTATTTCCGACGAAAATGATAGACCTCTAGTTATTTTTATATAATAATTTTTAGGATGAAGATAACCTTAGATTATTTTCGTCCAAATTTACTTACATTATAATGTGTGGTAATTCGTATGTTAATAAATTAACTGTTCATATTAAGGACGAGGTTTTAGAATTGGTTTTAAAATAAAAATATTTTAATTTAAAAAAGCTATTGAAAATATTCGAATGTTTAGAATATTGTTTTGATATTTTCAATTTTTGTAGGTGCTAGAGCAATGAGCGGCTTGTTGGTTTCCTCTTCATCACCATCGCAAGTACCGTGTTCGTCTCCACATTTCATTCACACTCAAAATTCAGCGAGTCAGTCATCACCACTGTGCTGTTCGGCAGCTGAAGATGAACATTTTCACCATCGACACCAAAATCGTCATCGATTCACCAACATGGTTGTCGCGTCTCTGGCCGAGATTGATTCGTTGGCGTGTAAAGACGATTGCGCTACACCGGCGGACAGTCTAAACGAAGTGCAGCATGACATGCGCCAGCGTTTACCACAGAATTTACAACAGCTTCGCGAGAAGTTGTTCGCCGCCGACGACGAAGACGAGGATGCAGCTGTTAGTACGGTAGACCTCGATGTCGAGGACGCCGGTGCTGTACCAGCGACATTGGACTCTTCGGATGATAGTGAGGAGGGTAACCGGTACGATAACGACGACGATAACGACGACGACGTCGAATACGCGACTTTGTCCGCGCGCAGTGTTTGTTCTGCCACGACAGCCGCAAACGACGACTTTGAATATTTTGCGGCCGCGTCCGGAAAGAGATCCACGGCCAAAGCCAATAACCGTGTAAATTACCAGCGCGCGCCAACTAGGCGGGCGAGGCATCAACACCAACAGAACCAAAGACACTCGAAACCGTCGCCATTACCACCTACCCCTCCGACGCCTCGGAGGCCTAGGCCTCGGTTGACTACTATGCTGTCCGTCGATTCATTAGTGACCGCACGTACCGAACACAACAATTTCGACCATCATCTTATCTCGTCTCCTGTCCATCGTCATCGCCATAATCAACAACAACGACACAGGGCTGGTAGAAGAATGGGTGGTCGAGGCCATCATGGCGGCAGCGTACCCGACTTGAAACGCGTTTTCATCACAGATTTCCTTTGATTACTTGTTTTAGAAACAAAACGTACAGGACTATGAAAAAACATGAAATGAAAATTATTTGCGTTAGCCAAATATAAGGCTAGTCATTTTTCAGTTCAGTCCTTATACGAGTTGCGTTCAAGTCAACCTTGTTTTTCATCTACAATGATGTTATTTATGTAATATTTAAAATAATGTTTAACTATATTTACATGTTTTTAATGTACTAAAGTAGTCTGAACGTACTAAAATTAACTTTGAGTTAAATGAGAAATAATTAAAACATTTTTTTATTGCTTTTGTGTATCCGGGTGTGTCATTGTGGTAGACATCTGGAGGAAAAGGATTTATTTCCTCTTTGTTTAAAGATATAACGAACGCATGTGTTTCCACTTCTATTATTAACCACCACTTTGTGTATTATTTTACTTGCATTTAAATAATATAATTTTTTCATCCTTCTGAGAAGATAGTTGTTATATTTGGTATATAATAAATCGGACGCTAGTTATAGTTATATTTTTTAACTAACTCATGGAAATATTTAAAAATTTTAATTCAATTTATCTCTTGGACATATCTAATATCCGTTTTACTTAATAGACATTTTGTTTATAGTTTGAAAAATAAATTAACGTGTGGTGCCAATTTATGTTTTAATGAGTATAGATTAAGTTTCCGACATGTTAAGCATACATAATTATTAGTTAAATTTTAATCAATTTTTGAATTTATATAATTTTTAATATTATTATTTTGTTGTAAATAAGTTTGTTTTTGTTTTCATGTATTATATCTATTTTCAATATTTGTTCACTAGTATTACCTGTTACTTAGATTAAATTTATTTTATGGACAATTTAGATTTAAGTTTAACTTTATTAATACATCTTCGGTTACTTATGTATTATTAACCAGCTTTGTGTTAGTTTATTGACAATAATAATTTATATTTAATTTAATAAAAGTTCATTTTTTATTTTTGGCCAATAATATCGATAAAATCAAATATCAATATACATCGTTTTAGTCTTCTGTCAGTAGGTAAATAGCTTTCGTGTGCATACACACGACATTAAGTTTTTAATTTTATTTCATATAGTCGAATTGGACACAATTATAAAATATAGTTATAAAGTTCATATCATTGAAAAAATGTAAAGATTAATTGAGCCCTCATTTCACGATTCAACAGATATCAATGTATTATTTAACTATTCCTCATACTCTATTCTTACAACCTTTAGAATACCACTCTAATCAACATTTAGTTCTTCATAAAAACGTTTTCATTGATAGTATTATTTTTAAACTAATTTCATTAGAAGTTTTTACTATTTTTATCATTCGATTATTGCAAATATATAATTTCATAATCTTAAAATAAAAATTTTGATAGCAATAAGAATATAAAATACTAAAAGTGATTGACCTGAGCGATTTTTCGCTCTCCATCTTTCTATTAACATTAAAATGACATTTTATAACAAAATTAAATAAAGTGTGACCTCTTTATATTATGCGTTTGTAGATGTAACAACACTAAAAAAATATTTCAAAAATAGTGCGCTATCTATGTAACAATAAAAAATAAGTGTTTTCAAAGTATTTGAGTATAGATACCATTATAATTAATAAATATAAGAAATAATTTATATTTAGTTTACTCATTAAGTACTATTCGAGATATTGATTTTGACCGATTAATTATGTTTATAATAAATGCTCTTAATATAATTATATTGAAAATAAAAAATATAATTTTACCATTGTCTGAGAGTGTATAAACTAATTGGCTGGAAAGTATGGTAATTTAATCGGAGAAAGTGTAACTAAAATGGAATCCCAAAGATAAGACACCACTAAAAGACCCATACAAAGGTGGATAGACAAAGTTGAAAATTATTAATTGGAAATTGGAATACTAAGAAACAATAAGACTCACGGAGTTTAAGAGCTTAAAGGATCCATCACAAGTTTTAGTTATTTGAAAATAAAATACTTTTAGATTATTAAAATTAATAGGGATTCTCTTTTAAAATTGTTGAAGATGACAGTAAAGTTAATATTTTTTAATTCATTACACATATATCGGTATAAAATAATATTTTGAAGTGCATAAAGCAAAAATAACTTTTTTAACTAGAGAACATCAAAAAGGAAAAAAAATATTTCTTCGGAATATACATAATTTATTAAATAAATTACCTACAATATAAAAACATTATAACTAAAACAGAAAACATAACAATAAGAAAATAAAAATAAGATAAAAACAAAAAATCTTAAATACTTTTAAATTACTAAAATTAATAGAGATTCTCTTTTAAAACTGTTGAAGTTCATAGTAAAATGTAAAATTTTTAATTCATAACATACATATCGGTATAAAATAATATTTTAAAGTGCATAAAGCAAAAATAACTTTTTTGACTAAAGAACAAAAAGGAAAATAATATTTTCTTCGGATTAACCCAACCCAAATTATACAAAATTTATCATCTAAATTAACTAAAATAAAAAAAATCATTAAAACTAATAAATACAACATTACAATAAGAAAATCAAAATAAGATAAAAGATACTAAAGAACTACTATTGCTTAAATATAAAATTAATAAAATTTAAAAAAATATAACTGGCATTGTATTAATACAAATCTCAGTTTAATTAACAGTAAAATGTAAATTTTTAATTCATGACACATCATATATCGGTATAAAATAATATTTTAAAGTGCATAAAGCAAAAATAACCTTATTGACTAAAGAACAAAATGAAAAAAAATATTTTTTCGGATTATACAAAATTTATTAACTAAATTAAACTACAATAAAAAAAAGCATTATGACTAAAAAATATAAAATTACAATAAGAAAATAAAAATAAGATAAAAGAAAGTAGAGAACTACTATTGGTTAAATAAAAAATGAATAAAATTAAAAAAAATATAACTGGCGTCTTATCAATAAAAATCTCCAAAAAATGCTGAAATCGAATCCAGTTTATTATTTATGAATTTTTTTTCAATTTGTAATTTATCATTATAGCTGTTGGCTAAAGACTGGCACTAAAAAATAAAAATACAAAATTCAGTAAAAAATAAACATGATTTGTCAACGAACATACTTCTGCAAGATATATATTTTTTTGCAAATGGAGTACAATATTAGGGGCAATTTTTCGAGCTAATTCAAAGATGTCGAAACCGTNAAAAAGCATTATGACTAAAAAATATAAAATTACAATAAGAAAATAAAAATAAGATAAAAGAAAGTAGAGAACTACTATTGGTATTGATCTTGACACATGTTCCTTAGGGTGTAGTTTTTTTTTTTAGAATAATTAGGTCCGCCCCAAGGGGGCGATGTTACAATAACATCCGCTTTAAATCGATTAGCCAATTTAAAAAAATCTCCCACAATAAATACAATGTGTTTCTCCACACCGTATATTTTTGTATTGTGTATGGCCATTTTAATTTTTTCGTAATCTTTGTCGATCGCTATGACTGAAAAATCAAAATTAGATATGCACATCAATATTATAATTAACTACGAAGTTGGAATAACATATGCTAAATAACTACTTAAATGATGGCGTTTATTATTTGATAAAAAAATAAAATAGTTGTAATCGTGTTTACCTTTGGTGTAGAACCTGGCTAATTGAATTATATTCCCACCAGCTCCACAAAATGGGTCCATTGCTACTTTGCCCTTGCAACGTTGGGCCATGTGATAACTTAATATCTCCGGACAGACCGAATAGAAACATTCGGTGTCCAATTGTATGCCTCGATCATATTTATTGAAGAGACTGTACCGTTTATCCCAATATTTTTTTAGTACATTATTCGGTCGCACTTATTTTGTATTAATTTTATCGGGATGAGAACTCTGTGTAAAAAAAAAAAATAAAGTTTATTGGACTTATTAATCAGCATAACAATAATCGTTACTTTAAAATGTATTTCATTGACTTCCAATGACTTCAATTGAAAAGTCGAATCAATGTGATGGACTTCTAGTTTTGTATCCGGCAATTTTGTGATTCCTTTGTTATTGTCTGGATGAAGTTTATTTGATGGTAAAATATTTGAATTTTCTTATTTCTACTGTTATAACTAAATCTATTATTGCTATTATAGTAACTAAATCTATTATTCCTATCATTATAACTATCACTATAATGCAGGAGCCTGCCTCAACACTCCTGCATTTGACGCGTATTCGATTGATGTCGACACCTGGTGGGTACGCCCCCCACCAACCGCCGGCACTGGGGCATCCGAATCCCCTGATGCAGTAACTTTGTTGCTGGTTAGATCCATTGTTCATTGAATACGCTTGTGAGGGGGCTGCCCTCATAGCCTAACCCTCCGGCTAGTGAGCGGCTAACTTCACTGGTTGCGTCGTGCCCATTTGTCTCCGTTCACACCCAAACGCTACCGCTTATTCGTCCGTAAAGGCTTATATCACGGCTACTCTGTAATATCTACAGGATTAACGAGCGCTTCTGCGGCTCGTTGTCCGCGACCGCTTATTCGTCAGTCCAAACCAATGGACTGCTTATTTCGCGGCTGACCTGCATATCTGCTGGCCGTTCCTCCATCCGCAACCTGAGGACGCGCCCGATTCCCCGAGCTAGGAAAACTGCGCTCGTGCCGACGTTTCGTAGCCCCGTAGAGGAGCCCGATCACACCGACACTGTAGCGCAGCTCAACGGGTAGTTTATTCAATGTGTCATCCGAAAATCCAATGTGTCCTGTTTCCAATGTCCGGTAAGTATTTTCGCCAAACATAAAGTCCGACCCTTTATTAATAAAATGTATTGTGATTGTCTTAATTTACCAGCATTGTTTGAAATATTCACATTTCCCAAGACTATAAGTACTTGATTGAAATTTTACTTAAAAAATTGTTTCATCTTAATTATATTTCAGTTTGAAAATGGACTTCTTTATAGAATAACGGTTTATTGCGGAAGAATGTAAACTGAATGTTACAAAAAAAAAAGAAAAACAATTAAATTAATTATGTTGAAGATATTTTTTTTGTTATTCTTAATTTAAGTCATATTATTAAAAATAAAAATAAACTATTCCTATAGTATTGTAATTATGTATATTTTACCGTAGTAACTCCAGATATGATAAAAACTATCATTATTTAAACCATACAATTTTATTTTTTATTTATTTTATTATTCATTTTTTTAATTGTTGAAATTTCAAAGGAATCTTTCGTAAATTTAATAAGAATAGTTTGAGTATTGAAAAAAGCATTTTTAAGTACAATTCATTTTGTCCACTTAAAAATACTTAAATTTTCGTTTTGTCTTTTATCTTATAAAAGAATTTGACGTTTAGATTTTTAAAATGTTATGAATGATATATTGATGTAATGATATAATGATATATTCTCGTATGTAGTCTGGAACGTATAGACATTTTCATTTAGTGGAAAAATTTGTTTAAATTAAAATTTTAATTACATTAATATAAGTTAAAATAAAATATTTTTTCTACAGAAGATATTATTATTTATTTTATTTATTTATAATTTATAAAAATTTCCATTAGAACTTAAAATTCTTAATGTATTCAAAACTTTTTTAACATCACTTCCTAAATACTATACATGTGGTGTAAATGTATAACAACAATATTTGTAGACAATATAAATCCTGTAAGTTTAATGCGTTTTTATTATTTAACGATCATGACTTTTGGATTAAATGATTTAATTTGTATGCATTAATCAATTAAATCAGTCATTTGAGAAACCCCTTTTATTCAAAAGTAAAAATTATATGTTAAAAGAAATGTCATACTAAAATTATTCAAAATTTAAATAATTAAATTAATTTAAAAAATTATATATATCCATTTAACTGTACTACAGTGTGTTGTG